CCGGTTTTAAAAAGAAAATATGAATTTTACACTCAGAAAGGGACATAAAAAAAAAGAAAAAAAGAAGAAAAATGACAACTATCAAAATAATTTCATGATTGACAAAACGCGCTTCTAATTGAACTAATATATACATGGCACAAAATCTACAGACGCATAAGAAAGAGTATTTATATCTTTAAAATAAAACGTAAACACGAACTCAGGAAATGTAACATAAAACATCTCAAAATAACACAAATGTAACATTGAAACATCTCAAAATAACACAAATGTAGCAATGAAACATCTCAAAATAGCACTGAAACATCTCAAAATAACAATAATGTAGCATTGAAATATCTCAAAATAACACAAACATAGCATTGAAACATCTCAAAATAACACAATTGTAGCATTGAGACATCTCAAAATAACACAATTGTAGCATTGAAACATCTCAAAATAACACAAATGTAGCATTTAGAAAACATCCTGTCGATATTATTCTAGTTGTCTACATGATTGTATAGCACTAAGAAGCCAAGTTGAGTAACATATATATATATATACACAATAATGATAAGTCCAAAAAACGTTTTAATCAAAGCATTAAAACGTCTTAAAAAAAATTAGCGTTATTATTTACTTGAGATATGTAATATTTCATTAACAACTCAAGTCTCTCTCTCCTCAATGACTAAATAATAATAATAATAATAATTCACTAATACAAACACTACTCAAAACTTCACTCACAGTCTTCCGCACTTAAATAACATAATTAATTCATCACCATCATCAATATAGCATTAAATTATCACAATTAGCATCAATCATGCAATAATTCATTAATTAAGAGAAAGTAATTAGGTCAATTAGCATTAATTGACTCGTCAATTAAGAGAAAGGAATTAAACCAATTAGCATTACCTTGACTCGTCAATTAACAGAAAGTAATTAAACCAATTAGCCATACTTCACATGGCTATGGCTACACATTATCTATATCCAAGCAATAAATGTCTTTCTCCTAATACTTTAATTATAATTGGTTACCATGGTAGCATTTCAATCTAAAATAGCATTACATGTAATCAATTAATTATATAATTGCATTCATAGCATTTTAATTAAGTAGCCTTGAAGTTAGCATTACACCAATAAATGCATTTGAAGTTATAGTATAAGTCCTAGCATTTAACCACTGCAGCACATATCAACAAAATAAAGCTTCACCGTACACATTGCCTAGCAACTAAGTTAAATTTTGAAATTTGGCGTAAACACATACTACAAAGAATATAAACTATTTCTAATTTTTTATGAAAAAGCTAAGAATAGAAAAAAAGTAGCACTAATAAATTAAATCTATATTTTTAAAACATGGCTTTTTATAATATAAATTATGTAACAGAAATTTGTGTAATATTTGGAAATAAAGTTAATAATATAATATATTAAAATCTATTTTCTTTGTTGAGGTAGATCTATAAGACGAAAACAAAAAAATTATGATTTTCTCAAATGTTTAGCAAAATGACTATGAAGAACATCTCTTTCACTTGAAGAGCCCCGGGGAAGAACGATCTAAGTCACATTCAACGAACCCCAGTTAATGGCGCCATCTGGTAGCAAATTGTATAAGCTTTCTGTGGAACAATCAATTTCAGGTAAAAACGATCGGAGTCACATCGAACCAAGGCCCTTCTGAAATGGCCTCCCTGTCAAATTAGGCCAATTGTACCCTTTTTTTTTACCTTAATTTGGCTGAAAAGTGGAAGGCAGTTGTTGTACTGGTAAACATCATTTATGCGAAAAGACAAAAATGGGACTTAGATCATTCTTCCCCTGGACTCTTCACTCATTATTAGTGTATGAAACTAGGGGTTTACCTATATTTAATCATTTGCTTACAAAGACGAGAGTACCAGCGTCGAAACGCTGCAAGTTAAAGATACATTATGTAAGATTAAGATAAAGAACTGGTCGTTCTTGCTATAACAATTCAAAAATAGATAACGAAAAATGAATATATTGAAAAGTTAATTAAAATTACTTTATTCTGAGCAAAGTTATCGCTGTTTGAAGTTTTGACAAGATGTGGCATAGATTGTTTATTACAGTAGCAACGGTACTTGTTATTCAAGACTCGGCCTCGATTCACCATTTTTTAATCAAATCATTAAATGGCGATCATGTTTCAATCTGTTTAAATCTCTGCCATCAGAAAGTCTAGAGAGTTGATTATTGGCCTGATAGGTGAATAAATGTCTAAATAATAGTTTGATGCCTGCAACAAGACCTGCAATAAGCATATTTAGCTCTTACACAATGTATCTTTAACAAAACAGTAAATGTCATTCCACATATCGGTTTTAATGTGTTACTAGAAAGTTATTATAATAATTTACGTGAGAATATATTTGCATTGAATCTAAAATAAAGAAATTGACTTAAAGATAGTATTTTTCTTTTATTACTGAGGTATTAAGACTTAATTTAGATGATAATATACTAGCATTAATTAAGTCTAAAAAAGTAAATTACTCAAAAATTGTATTTTTCCTAATTATTGAGGTTTTACGGTAAGCCTTTAGATGATAATATATTAGCATTAATTAAGTCTAAAAAAGAAAATTACTCAAAAATAGTATTTTTCCTAATTATTGAGGTTTTACGGTAAGCCTTTAGATGATAATATATTGCATTATGTCTAAAGAAAATGACTTAAAGACATTATTTTTCATTATTCTTGTGTATTTATGACTAATAAGAGTCAACTTTGAGGTAATTATCATTGAATACATAATAAATATTCTTGCTGCATTTAAACAGATTTAACAAAATTAAAACTGAGGTAAGAGTTAACAAAGGAGCCACCTGAGGTATATAAAAGAGATCAAAGTGAACCTTAAAATTTCAAAGAGAAATGGAATTCTCGACAAATGTTTCAACTTTAAAACAAAATGTTCTTGTTGATGATGGAAAATCAAGAGTAGTATTGAATTATAACTGCTGATATATTCTTGTCGATGAGAAATTCTCAACCTTGAGAATTTCTTGGGAACATTAAAAATCAAAAGAGAGAAAGGGTATTCTCAACAAAAGTTTCAACTTTAAAATTATATATTCTTGTTGATGAGAATTCTCAACTTTGAAATGAAAGTAAACCTTAGAAATCAAAGAGAAACGGAATTCTCAATTTTAAAATGAAATATTCAAGTCAATGAGAAAATTCTCAACTTTGAAATCTGTGTAGAATTGAATTAAAACTGCCGAACGAAAGATACATTCACTAACACAACAAATTCGACTGAGCTAGAAGTCCATATTATTAATATTGCATACTTCAAAAAGATACATAAAAATTCTAGTCCCTATATTTTAAACAATTAACAATTGAAAGATACATCTCAACTCTAAAAGATACATTAAAACAGAAAGATATATTGGACACATTCAAATAATTCTTAATATGCTAATCTACTCCATATATCTTAAAAGATATATTTCAGCTTTAAAAGATACATTGAAACAGAAAGATATATTAGACACATTCAAATAATTTCTAATGTGCTAATCTAGTCCATATATCATAACAGATACATTTCAGCCCTAAAAGATACATTGAAATATAACGAAATATTGGATACATTCAATCAATTTTTAATGTGCTAATAGGTTATTTCAGCCCTAAAAGATACATTGAAATATAACGAAATGTGCTAATAGGTTATTTAAAGATACATTTGCCTCGTGTAAATTGTGATATAAGTACAATGTATCTTTAAAATGTCTTATATTAGATACATTATCGTAAATCAAAATTATTTTTGAACTGAGACGTTTTCAACTTTTAAATTATTAGTAAAAAATATGAGTGTTCTAATGGACCGGGCACAAAGCACAACGCCATACAGCCATCTTGGAGTTATGATTTCACATCAAAAATCGACGCGGAATTTCCAAGGAAAAAGTATGAGTGGTCTAATGGACCGGGCACAGAGCACGACGCCATCTTGGAGTTATAATGTCACATCAAAAATCAATGTGCAGCTCTCAAGAACATGCATGCCAACTTTGATGTCGATCATACTTGAATTGGGCTTTTTTCAAATGTGCCTTAAATTAATTTTTTAGTAGATATATTTTATGTAAATAAAAACAAAGCTGTCCAGTGACTTAGTCCAGTGACCTAGTCCAGTGACTCAGTACCCAGTAAATGTTAAGACATCATATAAGGCACCTTATCATACTCTCCGGATTACAAGTGCATAGTTGTGATATAATAATGGCACCTCAAATATAAAAAAAACTATGGCACTTGTGAATTCATTTACTGGGCCTTTAAGCCAGATTGTTTTCAGTTTTAAAAATGTATCTTAAATAATGAGCTTTGTATTATTCCTAACATAATTGTAAATGTTTTTCAGCAGAGTTTTATGTATCTTTCTTAACAAATTTTTATGTATCTTTTGCAAACAATTTTTTTTTTATCTTTGTCAACATATTTTTATGTCAGAGTCTTTTTGATCTTTGTTAACAAATTCTTAAGTAAATTTTTGAGTAAATTTGTTAACAAATTCTTAAGTAACTTTGTTAACAAATTCTTAAGTAACTTTGTTAACAAATTCTTAAGTAAATTTTTGAGTAAATTTGTTAACAAATTCTTAAGTAACTTTGTTAACAAATTCTTAAGAAATTTTGTTAACAAATTCTTAAGTAACTTTTTTAACAAATTCTTTTGTATTTTTGTTAATAAATTCTTTTGTATTTTTGTTAACAAATTCTTAAATTAACAAATTCTTAAATTCTTTTATATTTTTGTTAACAAATTCTTAAATTCTTTTGTATTTTTGTTAACATAACTGATCTCACATACATTGCAATTCAACACAAAAATTCTTATCTGTTCCAAAAAGATCTCACAAGAGACTAAATAGCTACGAGTAATGATTCTTGTGTATATCTTTGATTAACTCAGTTCCTACATGCAGTCATGATGTATCTGATGATGCTTCTATAGGTGTCCTTGAGTACCTGGATGTATCCATGACAACCAGGTGTAAGATATGTGACTAGGTAAGAAAAGGTATAAGAACATAATGCTGCTGGCAAAGCTTCTGCTTATAATTCTCTCAATTTTGTTTAATAAAACCACAGGTTGAAAAGCACATCCTGTCACCTGAAACATATAAATAAAATGGGGTTTAACGTCCTACTGTTCTGCTCCGACTAGGCTAATGATGACGGGCATACGCCATGCAGTGTGCTATAAAGGAAATTTTGCCCAGAGAGCAGCGCTACAGTCTACTCTTATATTGAATTCCAACTGCCAAGGGATCTTTTACGTGCACGCCAATGTGTACATAAGACCTCAGTTTTTGTCCCATCCGAACGACTAGACAACTTTCCTTATGAGGCCCTCCGGCCTGCACCACTTACAAGGGGAAACCATGTCAGAAAATCCTGACGATGTTTCTCAGACAATGCACGAATCGAACACCCGACATCCTGGCTAGTGAGCCAGCGCCCTTACCCACTTAGCCACCGTGGCTTCCCACTGTAACAGATAAAGATTCATAAATTGAATAATTTGTTCTGAGCTCGTTTGTATATACACATATTATAAATGATTTGGGCTGCACCACTACGACAGAGCATTAACAATTCCTAGGGTAAACCATTTTCACAGAGCATTATAAATGGCTGGGACTGCACCACTTTGACAGAGCATTATAAATGGCTGGGGCTGCACCACTTTTACAGAACATTATAAATGGCTGGGACTGCACCACTTTGATAGAACATTATAAATGGCCTGGGCTTCACCACTATGGCAGAACATTATAAATGGCCTGGGGCTGCACCACTATGGCAGAACATTATAAATGGCCTGGGCTTCACCACTATGGCAGAACATTATAAATGCATACACAATTACACTCACCTTAATGTGTTATCAAGCAACATACTCATCCCTAAAGGAATGATAGTTTGGGATAGTGTGGGGATACTTGACGTGCCAAACAGTATGAAACATGAACTCAATACGGTCCTGACAGTGCTTGGAACACGATGGACAGCGAAACGGATTCTCTTCGTACGGAGAGTGTAGACTCTTGTGCAGATTGAACATCGTGTAATCGTAGAAAAAAATATTACAGTGTTGACACTGATGGATACCGCTATCCGCAGACGGCGAGACCGAGGTAGTGGTGACATCCCGCTTTCCTTCGCATTCTGAATCATCTCCAGGAGTTTTTGGTGATCTTCCAGCAGTTGTTTGATATGGCACGTGTCTCTCCTCTTCTGATTCCGTCACACTTGGTGTTTTCGCCATGCTAAGATCCATCACCGTGTCTGGTAATGTATCTTCTGGGGATTTGTGGGGCTCCTGGCAGTAAGAGGCTGGGATGTATTCCCGTCTGTGTGGTGCTGGTAGTCCGATTCCTGCAGTCTGATTGGTTGAACTTTCAGGCGGGGAATAACTTGGACGCCTCATCATGAGGGCATCTTGACTATAGCCAGCTTTACTGACACCATAAGCACCTGATGACATTAGAATAGGAGCTGAGTGAATCATGCGTCCTGAAAACAAACCATAAATAAATATTTTAAAGATACATTATGGGGGAATAGATAAAGAGCTGGCAGTTCTCATTATAACAGTTAAAAACTAGATAATATAAAGGAGATATGCTGAAAATGTCAGTCAAATTGCTCCACTCTGAACCGAATTACAAGTGATTGAAATTTAGGCCTAGACTCGATCATCATTACTAAAGTCGGTACGATAAAAAACAGTCTTGGTTATCCATTTTTGGATTTAATCATGAATGAGCGCTGAGCAGCAGAACGGATTCAAATCCAATGAAAATCTGACACATAAGATGCCATCGAGAGTTGATTAAGGTCTTTTCATGTTAATAAATGTCTAATTAATAGTTTAGATAACATTTCAGGCCTAAAGAAATACCTGCAATAGGCAGATTTAGCTCTTGCATAATGTATGTTTAAGTCATATACTAAAAATAAAAGAGTTTGTGTATTTTGAGTGATCTAATACATGCTATGTGGTTGAATGGTAAACATGTGCACGTGGCATCATAAGGTCTGTCATTGAGTCAAGTGGGGTGGTTTCCATTCTCCGCTTGTACGTGACCAGGAATAGGTTCGCCTGTTCAACCACGTGGGTTTTCTTCGAGTACTCCAGATTCCGCCCACTGGTAAAGACCCCTACGCCCAAGCGAATTATTGAAATAAAATTGAGCCATATGCTCTCTCTCTCTCTCTCCCTCCCTCCCTCTCCCACCCCCACCCCGCAGTCGTGGAATTAAGCAGTAAATTTAGTTATTTTTGAATTTCTGCTTACCTTGAGTGTAGTTTGAAGAGTGAGGACTCTGTAGACTTTCTGATGAGGTAGATAAACATCGTTTTTCATGGTGGCGCTCGCCACGGTCGATAATAGGTGTCGACGGAGGAGTCACCTGTTCCAGTTTGATGGGACTGTCGGCCTTATGGAGAGGATTATTCGAGGTAGTAAGTAGGCTGTGTTCTTTTGTGATGGGTAATGGCACCCCCCGTTGTGGGGGCTCGTGGGGAGAATGATGATGAAGAATATGCCCCTGCGTAGAGGCGACGGTCTGCTGCTGTTGCATTCTCATACTCTCGTATGTAAGAGCTTGTTGTAGCATGGCCCTCTGTTGCATTGCAAAAGCTTGATAGGTGGCAAGATTGACTTGGCTCGTGGTATTTCGTCCCTGAGTTTTATACCCGCATAATTTTCCTCGCATGTGTACGTTACGCTCATGGCGTCGGAGATCATTCGATTGAGTAAAACATCGATGACAAATCTTACATTTGTAGGGTCTTTCCCCTGAAAAACAAAAAAATAGAAATTGGAACCCGAAACATTCCTCCATGAGAAATGAAATGAAATGAAATGAAATGGGGTTTAACGTCCTACTGTTCTGCTCCTAACCTGGGCTAATGAAGACGGGCATACGCCATACAGTGTGCTATGAGGGAAATTTTGCCCGGGCAGCGGCACTATCGCCTACTCTTATATCGAATTCCAACTGCCAAGGGATCTTTTACGTGCATTCCAATGTTTACACGGGACCTCGGTTTTTCGTCTCATCCGAATGACTAGACAGCTGTCCTTGTCAGGCCCTCCGTCCTGCATCACTGACAAGGGGAAACCACGCCGGAAAATTTGGATGAACTTTCTCGGCCAATGCAGGGATCGAACACCTTCCTCCATGAGGCTGACCTTAAAAATATCTTTGTTTCGCCTAACGCGACTGACTAACTAAAACCACCCCCGACTTAAATTATTTTATTGCACTTTTCCGCGATCTTTTTATTTTATTTTGTGTGTCAACCTGAAATATATCACGAGAGTTATTTCCCTTTACTATGGCTATGGTTTGATTCATTATTGAAACTGGTTAATCAAGACGAAAGCATCATAGGTGTCGCTTCTCAACAAAATGGTTGCAGACGAAAGCACGTCCATTCCCACGAAATGATTCTGCCTCTATTTTTCTCGAAGGCACAACCCACACGATCGTTATAAAACGTGTTGAGGGAGTTTCAAACGTCAGTTTGTTGCAATTCGTGTGCGAGTCGTGCATCACGAAAAATCCCGATGTCATTGATTTGTTTGCCAATAAAAGAAGACGCATGTTTGCACCCGGAAAATTATCAAGCTGTCAATTTAGCTCTTAAAAAAAAAAATCTGAAAAAAAAACCGACCTACCGACCCTTCTCCTCGATTGTGGGTCGGGTTTGGTGAAACAAAGATATTTTTAAGGTCAGCCTGACCTTTGTTAATTATTCATAAATTTCATACAAAATTTCATACTTATAGCTGCCATGAAATATTTTCATTCAAGCAAGAATCACTCCTGTTAAGTTGAAAGTCAGAATAATCACCAAGGCTTGAATATTGTGATTTTACAGTGTGTATGAGGGAAATTTTGCCCAGGCAGCGGCACTATGGCCTACTCTTATATCCAATTCCAACTGCAAATGGATCTTTTAAATGCATGCCAATGTATACATGGGACCGTGGTTTTTCATTCCATCCGAACAACTAGACAGCTGTCCTTGTCAGGCCTTCCATCCTGCATCACTGACAAGGGTGAATCTCCGCCGGAAAATCTGGATGAACTTTCTCGGCCAATGCAAGGATAGGAATTCCCATTGTATTAATATGTAAATTAAAAAAAGCTTACCTGTATGAACACGTTCATGAACTTTTAGATTTGAGGACCAGAGAAAAGATTTGCCACATGTTGTACAGACATAAGGGCGATCAGCCCGGTGAAGTTGCTCATGCTTCCTTAATGTTGCAACTTCTCTAAAACAGCGTTGACAAACTTCACAACGATGTGGGCGTGGTCCAGTAGCTGGCGGTAGTTTTATTGGTGTGAATCCATTACTCTCGGGCTGTACAGTTTCTTCCATAGCTGGAAAATAGAAATAAATAAATGAGTCAACAATTACATTTATAAATAAACTATAACAGATACTGAGAAGAGAGAGAGAGAGAGAGAGAGAGAGTGAGAGAGAGAGAGGGTTTAACATCCAATATTGAGATTAATAAACTACTTTCAGTTTTTGTTTATTTTTAAACTGCATACATTATGATAATTTTAATGCCACCATATTCACCAAATATTAAACAAGACTAAAGCATAAATACAATTTGGCTCTCCTTCATTCAAGAAAATGCAGAATTACTCTTGCAATATAATTTTTTCTCATTTTTGAAATTGGCAGGAGCTTTTTAAACATGCATTATGCAAGAGCTAAATCTGCCTATTGCAGGTCTTTCTTTAGGCCTGAAATGTTTTCTAAAGTATTAATTAGACATTAATTAAATGATCCAGGCATTAATCAACTCTCGATGGCATCAGATTTCTCCGATATTAAATAGATTAGAATGGTTCAGCAATACTTTGATTTAATCAAATATGGAGGACCGAGAGTTAGCTTCGATCAACCAGTACGGTGGTTGAAATTATTGCACACGTCTGTCAAACCTTCAAAGGCTAATATCTTCGCTTGCAATAGAGTAATTTGAATGAAATTTTCAAATTATTCATTTTACATCATCTACTTTCGAACTATTATAGCAAGAATGGCTAGTTCTTTATCTAAATCTTACATAATGTATCTTTAATGGCTCTTGCACAATTTTATAAATGTGAAGGACTGGTTAGATCTGATTATACTGAACTTTGTATTTTAAATGACATGTTCTTTTTGAAAATAAAACTATCATACATGTACTTCAAAACAATTAAAAAAAAAATCATATGGTTCACTGAAATAAAATGGTTATCATTTACAATTTATTTTTTTTTTTTTTTTTTTTTTTACATTGCCTTGCTCTTGGAAACCATTTCTTTAATTTCCCATTAGAATTTCTTCTTTTATTTCTTTAAGTCTACTGACTCATCAGATAAATACACTAACATTATAATTACATACAAACAATATATACATGGCAAGTAAATACCAACAGACAAAGGTATGGGGGTGGGGTGTAGATAGATTGTGTTAATTTGCTAGCCTGAATAGGATACAAAAATGTAAACATAACGGAAAGAATCAGTAAATATTATAAACTTCATAAAATCTTTCCGAACTTCTAAACTGACTTTAAAATGGGGAAAATAAGCTAGATGATTACCATAGTAATGACCATCATGTAACAGTCTTAAACACCATTAAAGGGACTATATAAGCGCCAAAATATAGAGGAATGGCATATTTATACCTTGTATCAAAATATCAGCCCAAAATATTGAGTCGTTTGGACATGAACGTCAAAACTGCTTATCCGGACACGTAACCCTTTCAAGATTTCGGTTCAATTTTTTTGTTGGGTGACCTGATAATCGATTCCCGTTCTTTTAGAGTTCAATACCATGAACAACCCATGTGATATATTTGAACGAAAGGTAAATTTCACCTACACATTATTTTTATAAAATAAAAGTCTAGTTTTACCCAGACACCGCATAATACAGCTTGGGACACCGGTCTTCATCTGGAAATGGAGACCGGTGTCCCAAGCTTTTTAAACACCATCAGGATCAAATAACACACTATTTATAGATAACAATTGAATTACTAAGGTTTATTTCAGTTTCAACAAATGCATTTGTGTTATATGCTTGATACTGACTTGTGAAATGTTGTTGAAACGTCGCCGTGATATAAACCTTAGTAAATTGGTTAGTGCTAAATGATAAGGCCAGCTCAATTTTTCGTCATAGGTCATGAGATGTAAACAGGGCTAGCGCTAATCCCAACAATAACCATGGACCTAGCCCCAATGCTTACCCTAACCCTAACCTACAATCTCCACAACAATCCTGTGCCTTCACCTTATTTACATCTCAACAACCTTGGTTAAAATTGAGCTGGCCTTAACAAATAGATCTAGCGACTAGATTCTAGCCTTAGTAATTGTTATCTATAAATAGTGTGTTATTTGATTATGTTCCAATTACTAAATGCCATTCAAAGAATACACCATCAGACTAGAGTCAGTGATATGATCGTCTATAAGGAAATCATAAAAATAATAAGTTGAAATGGTGATCATAGGTTTTTTTTTTTTTAGATTTCTGTGATCTAGTTTTTTAAATCATGAATCAGACTCAAGTCAGTGATATGATCCCCTATAAGGAAATCATCAAAATAATAGATGAAATGGTAATTATTTTTTTATTTTTAGATTTGCTTGATCTAGTTTTTTAAATCATGAATCGCAAGGCTGTCGGGACTAGAGTTAGTGATATGATCCCCTAAAAAAAAAGAGAGAGAGAGAGAGAGTGAGAGAGAGACGGGTTTAATGTCCACTCGACACAAACTAGGTCATTTCGGGACTAACATATGGTTCAATTTTATTTCAATAATTAGCTTGTGCGCAGAGGTCTTTAGCAGTGGGAGGAAGCCGGAGGACCCAGAGAAAACCTACGAGGTAGAACAGACGACCCTACTCCTTGTCACGTAAAACCGGGGATTCTAAACCATCCAACCCCACTTTGCCTATAAGGAAATCCTAAAAATAATAGAAAAACCTCACAAATTTTAAATTATGTTCTCATTTGCTGCTATTATTATTAAACATACATTATGTAAGAGCTAAATCTGTCTATTGCAGGTCTTTCTTTAGGCCTGAAATGTTATCTAAATTATTAATTAGACATTAATTAACTCATCCAGACCATAATCAACTCACGATGCCATCTATAGCCTGCGATATTTAGCGGATTGGAATACATTTTTTGAAAAATAATTAAACGTAAAAATGGATAGTCAAGACTTTGTTTTTTATTGTACCGACTTTAGTATTAATGATCAAGGCAGCCTAAAATTCAAATGCTAATATCTCGGTTTGGGGTAGAGCAATTTGATTGAAATTTTCAGCATATTCTATTTACATTATCGTTTTTCAACTATCATAACGAGAACTGCCAACTCTTGATCTAAATTTTAAACGTTAGTAATTTTGGCTGTTCTCCGTGGTTAGCAGTAACTTTCTGTCAATAAACAATTTTAGTCCTGTTTATAGTATATAGACTAGAATATGAGCAGAAGGACAAAAATAACATCACGGATTGTTTATTGACAGAAAGTTATGACTACTTGCGGAGAACGGCAGAAATTACTAATGTTGAAATTTACCTGTTGCCGGTAATTCGGGTTCGTGTTATACTTATGGAAAGGATATGTTGACATTATTTAAATAAAAATTTTAAGCTTTTCCGGTGACCTTTAACCTCCATTTCATTTCATTTCCAAACAATGTGCTTAAAAATTAATGCCACTAGCTTGCATTAAAAATCTTTACAAAATCTTGTTTATAAATAGTAACACATCTTTAATGAAGAAATTTACAAAAGAAAACAGTAAACTCAGACCTGATGTCTTGATGCTAGTTCCGGCCATAATGAATAGTTTGGAGTCAGAAGTGTCCATTACAAAATGTCATCCAATAGACTGTTTTTTCTAAGGCGTCTGGTTTGACGTGACATACACAGAACGACTAAACAAAGTCTGTTACAAGACCGACCAAATATGGTACTTATATTCAGACATCAATCACGGCAGACGGTCATTAAATGGTAGCCATATTGATAATGTGGGTATGTCATTGTTTAACAAAAAGACTAACCTTAAACAACCTCATTTCATAAAATATTTGCTTAATAGTCACATAAAAATAAAACTATACATAAAGTTTTTAATAATGGTTTATTAAAACCATTTGCTGTGAGAGAAAGCCAGCCATTTTGAAATTTCAAATGTTTATCTGAATTAGCCAAAAAACTCATTTCGTAGTTAAATTAGTTATTGGTTTTAATAATAAGGTCCTAAAAGGACCAAAACAAATAAAAGCAACACTTGTTTTAACGATTTGTAAAGTTTCAAATGTGTTATTAAGTGCCATATTAAAATACCTGTTTTGTTAATAAACAGTCATTGCGGTATTGAGAGTTTTAATATACAATTAACAGGTTGTGATGAGGGAGCTAATAGATTAGATAAAAGCAAACAATAACAATCTAGTTATGTTTTATAGCTATCCGACATTCCTCATGACATATGTCGCAAATCTATTTTTTTCAATATGTGCTTCGGTGATCAACAACAAGGGTAATAATTATAGATGTTAAAACTAGTAATGTTTGATGGGTATGGGACATTTGTCATATCATGTGCTGCCAATCTATTATTTGTTTTAATATGTGCTTCGGTGGCCTCTTGAAGTGTAACATGTGTGCGATTTATCTGTGTGCGGTTTAGATCAAAGATTTCATCAACTATGGTATTAGATATAAGCCTAGACATTATATTTTATAGCCATCACACCTTTGAAATATATCTTTTGTCTTAATTGCTTTAATTCAATGCATGGCCTTGTCTGAAATCAAATGAGAGAGAGAGAGAAATGGGGTTTAATGTCCACTCGACACAAACTAGGTCATTTCGAGACTAACATATGGTTTAATTTTATTTCAATAATTCACTTGTGCATATTGGTCTTTAGCAGTGGGAGGTAATCAACAAAGACCAACACATGTTTTATGCTTACAGATAATTGATATGGTGATTCCTTATCTGTTAACACACACTGCTTGAAGGCTGGATTATCCAATGTTAATTCAACGCAAAATGTTTGACGGGACCGCTGATTCATGTCGTAATTCAGAATATTCAGAATCCTGACTACTCAAAACTTTTTAGGTTGAAGAAATAAGGAAATAAATCAGAACATGAAACTGATGATGGATTTGACAGGAATACTGTTGAGTGGCTGTTAAACTCTCAGGTTTGTGTCGAGTGGACAGAATCCCCCCCCCTCTCTCTCTCTCTCTAATAGTATGTGCGTATGTGATGGAGGACTGTACACCAGAAAGTGTGTATACTGGGATGGATCTCCGTTTTT